AGCCAGGCTCCCAGGCCAGCTGGGGCTGGGAGGACACTTCAGGGTATTGAGTTTCATCCTGATGCTTAAGCCCCAGGCAAATTGCTGAGTCTGACAAGCTGGGATTTGGCATTAAAGGTGGCTCCTGCCTTTTTTAAGACCTTTCCTTCCATAAGACAGTCTGACTCTCATAGAGAGGACAGTCACTTCTCTGCTCCCAGACCACAAACCCCTTTGTGGAACTGTTAGCATTTCTGGATCTAAAGAAAGAAAGAAAAAGGATCCATTTGTGAACTCATGGGACACATGGAAACTGGTCAAAAACAAACAAAAAACCAGAACCACTGTCTTTCAATCTGTCAACACAGGTAACCGTTGGTAACAGGCACTCCCTATTCAATCAAGTGAAGTAAAATTTAGGTGTCCTTAGATGCCTTCGGTACGTCCTGACCCTCCAGCACCAAGTCCTGCGTTAAGCAAGTTCACTTGACCCGCGACCCCAAGTCTTCCCGCTGCCAGCGGCCGTGCACTGCTCTTCGTGCTCCCTCCGCTGCCCGCACCCCCGGCTTGTCGGCCTGCCCTCCACCTCACACACATTTCTCAGTCGTTTTTGTTGTTCTTAACAGTCGGTCCCCTTCCCTTTCTATCTGCTTCCATCATCTATTTTCAGCCCCTCCTCCCTCCGCCAGGAAAACCTCTATTTATATATTCCCGAACAGCTGAGAAAGCTCTAGCTTCTGAGTTATTAGTAACAAGATTCATATTTCTATGGAAATAAGCCAATGGCTTTAAGCCTAGATTGAAATGAAAAAAGGTGTAATAGAAAGCTTTTGTTTCTACTATTTATAGGAGAAAAACATAGAAGATGGTTCTTTTTTTTTTTTTTTTTTTTTTTTTGGTTTTTACAATAGTTAATAGGTATGGCCTTTACTGTGGTGGATGGCTTCATGTCACACCCCCAGTAAGTATTCCTCCTTGCGGAACATCTGGTTTCTTGGCCGCAGGAGGGACAGACTCCTCACCCCCAGCCCACGTGTGCGGTGCTGCTTTGCCACGTGCACATGAGACACAGCAAATGCACAGAGCATGGTCAGACTCAGACAATTTATTTTACAAATTGAGAATCAAGTTAACTACGCACTGTTAACAGGTAACAAGATTCAAACATCAGAGGGAAATCTACTTAAATCACAAGAAAGCGAGCTCACACAAGCCTGTGGGCCACTGAAGAACTTTCATTTTAATCCTCAACACCCACTGATGTGCAAGGGTGACAAGGTGGGGCTCCACCAGTGGGAAGTGCCAGGACACCACAGCCCCCTAAAGGTAACTCTTCTTCCCTCCGTGGAAAGCATCATTTAAATAAAACACATTTAGGCTCCCTTCGCTTTTGTAATTCCTAACTGGAAAACATAATCATTTTAACAGACAAAGAACTGTCCTTGGTCGGTCACATCATTTACTACTGAGAGGGAAAATTCAGTATCATAAAAAAACAGAACACTGAAATAATTTACTTGTAGGTAGTTTTGCTGCATTGCACATTACCACGCAAAATACTAAAGCTGATTTTTAATTAAAGCTTGGAAAACACACTTGCCTTTTTGCATTTCTTGCTAAGTGATATGCATGCTTCTTGTAAGGAAAACTATTCTGTGTAGACCTGGGTCTAGAATTGAAATACCTGTTGCTCTAGAGCTTGCCAACCTGAGTGCACTGCACAGGTGGGGACAATGGGTGATGAACAAGGGTCTCCTCTGTCCCAGGGTGGCCAGGCTGTGCAGCAGCAGCCTCTTCAGATGACCCCAGGTGGGGGGTGCTGCCTACAGCCAGCACTAGAGGGTGAGGATGTGCAAAAACCACTGGTACAAAACAGTATGTTTGTCCTCCTGCAGTTTCCCTAAGCAGACTGCTAGGCTCAGGCACATCCTCTGGGGGCCTGGGCAGGAGCGCAGGCGAAGGTGGGGCAGGGGCTCGGCCCGCTGTGCACTTCTGCCGAAACCCGGCACTGACATTCCTCTCTGACAAGGCTTTCAGCAAGTCCCCTATGTTTGTTTTGTTTTGTTTTGGGCTAAGTATTCAGTTTACAGCCCTCTTGGCCAGCCCTTGGTGGACATGAACTCTTCTCTCAAATGAAGCTCCTCCCTGGCACCACCAAGAGGTGCTTGGCTTCTTCTCTCCTGCGGCTTAAGGTGATGAAGCACAAGGAGAGATCTCCTGACTGCAGATGGTTCAGCACGACACAGTGGGCCCTCCTGAATAGCACTTTATAAACTATTTGGGGGGGGGGGGGGCGGTTCCTGGTTTATTAGAAAATAATGTGGAAGTGAAATTCTGGTGCATAACCAAATATTTTAAAATTGAAGCCTGCTCAGTTTTCTTGCCTTCTTTGCAGCGTGAATGGGGACTCCCTTCCTGAACGAAGAGGGTGCTACTGTGCAGCCTTTCTCGAATGGCACTGCTGGCACAGGGTCAGCAAACATCTCCTGCACAGGTACACTCAGTAAGTAGCTTAGGCTCTACAGGCCAGCCTCTGTTGCATATTCTTCATCTTTTTTGTCTCTAAATATCATTTACAAATTCGAACACCATTCTCACCTCAGCCTCTAGATTTTCCCTGTGGCCAAGTCTGTCCAACTGCCTGCTGCAGGGAGTTCTGAGAGGGGAGGGTGGCATGGAATTGAGTGAGGCCGAAGGCTGTTCTGTCCCTGGGACCCTGATCTGGGGATGTCCTCTGGAGAGTGGGCAGGTCCTCGCAGAGGATTCCTACGTTGGGGTAAAGCAGGGCTTCCCTGGGTTTGTCTCCCAGACAGTACAGAACTGGACCCAATTGACCTCCTTTATTTGAAAAGTAGCTGTTTATGGTAGGAAGTCTTAATTAAGGTCTATTTAAACCTGTGGCTGTGCTGGCTTATCCTTGCCTTATATCTAAAAGGCAAAGTCACATACTCGAGGCATTTAAAATTCATTCCACAGTTGAAGGGCCTTACTATTCCAAATGGCTGGTGGAAGAAAAGGTGAACTGTAAACTTACTTCCTCTCCACCAATGCCACCCAGTCTACAGAGCAAACCCATCTAAGAATTCAAGAAGCACGCCACCTCATCTTATGTCCACGTATGCGTGACACAGCTCATTTGTAGCCAGGTCTTCATAACAGTGTTTGCCAGGGACCAAGGACTTACTATCTGGAGACCAGTGTTTCAGAAGCGGGCTTTTTCATGGGGATGTTTATCTCCACCACCCTCTCTGAAACAAGACTCTCCACATTAACTGCTGTAACACCACACAGCTCCTCTGGCCTTCTGAATATGTGATAGGCAAATATTCTACCAATAATTTCCTCATTGTTAGAATATTCACTTTGAAGAGCAGAATAAGATAATCTGAATTTCTTTCATGAATTTGTAATCTTTTAGCTCCGACTGGTGTAGCTCAGTGGGTTGGGAATCATCCCATAAACCAAAAGGCTGCTGGTTTGATTCAGGGCGTGTTCCAGAGGCAACTGATTGCCGTTCCTCTCCCACATCAATGTTTCTTTCCCTTTCTTTCTCCCTCCATTCCCTTCTAATAATAAATAAATAAAATCTTTTAAAAATATTTTGTAATCTTTTAAATCATCAACATATAGTATGCCATGGTTGTAAGTCATTAACAAGACAAAAACTCCACTTTTTCTCCCTTGGTTAAATAAGGGCTTCAAAACCTAAATTCTTTCTCTAATCAATATTTTTTTTTTTTTAAAGCAACTGATGGCTCTCAAAATATACATCTGCTACCAACTAGACGAATTTAACTCCTCTGGAGATAAACAGCATGCATGTGTGGTGCCCACATATACCACACGTGTGTACACACACACACACACACACACACACACGCATGCGCGCACTCGTGTACCAAAAGAACTTAAAAAAAACCCTAAGAATTCCCAGTGGTTCCAAATTAAATGAACAGGTGAAAAACAACTGACCTCACATATGACAATCCATTTGTCTTTTTTAGGTTTTTGTTTAAAATGTCAAACTTGTTTTCTCCAAAACGTGGGCTTCTTTTTGGCGTTAAACTCAGACCCTTCTCTCAGCGTAGGCCACAGGGGTGTCGTCCACATGGCCTGAGCCACAACAGCGGTGAAAACCTGAGCGGAGGGTGGGCTCTTCAGACTAAAACTACCGAGACAATTTATTAATGGGGAGGAGGGCACCAACCTTCCGTCAGAGACACCGGAGTGCGGTTAAACAGGCAAAGGCGCGCTATTAGGAAACACAGGTGTGCATGTTGGCTGGCATCAGCTCAAGTTCTAATAATTTTGAAACCAGTGAAGCTTTATAAATTTTCCAGCTCATCCTAAAACAAGAGTGTTCTAAGGCCACTGAAAGATAAGATGAAGAAAGTAATTCCCTGTGGTCAAAGGACAAGATGATAGTAAAAGAGATTTTTCTGAATAAATTAAAAAGAAAATTCTGAAGTGTTTCTAAAAGAACACTGTATTCCTTATTCGCCTTCATTAGCATTTTCACACACACACACACACACACACACACACACAACTCTAGTCATTATTTCACATTTTTCAGGTCTCTTCACTATCCATTTTAAAAGTAGTTACCTCTTGGTAACTAGTATTCTCTATTTTGGATATTACGTTTCTCTATTTTGGATATAAAAGGTTTTGATTTTTTAAATCTGCAAAGAAAACTTATAAGGACAGACTTCAACAATAAATTAAAACTAAGCATCATCCTCTTTAGCTTCCTGGAGGAAGAAAAGCATTTTAATTTCATTCAGTAGGTTTTTTTGGTTCTTTAAAAGTATCACCCTTCAGTCCTGGCTCCACTGATAGAAAACACCTTTACCATTTCCCTACAATAGCAAAGTGCATCTGTTTAAAATTAAACATACTTTAAAGAAAAACCAAAAATCTTCATAATTTTTGGTAAATGTCCTATGCAGCAGAAATGAAGTGATTTTCCCTTTTCCCTACTCAATTTAAAGCTGTGTACAAAACAGGGCTAAATGCAATTCTTCCAGGACAGCAGAGTTTATAAACGATGTAATTCGTTTTTGTTTCAAAAAACAAAAAGAGAAAGGAAAAATAAAACCAAACACAAAGAGAAGAAACCCTGAGGCAAAAATGGCTTTTCCTTTAGACAGTCTTCCTGGGCTCTCTCCCTCTTGTCTGTGTTCACAAGGGGCCCGCAATCTTCTGGGCTGGAAGGCCCTCCTCCAGCCAGAGGGCCGCGGCCGAACCGCTGCGGAGCATCCGCCTGTGGATGCGCCGGAGCCGCAGCAGGTAGAGAAGGATGGCGAGCAGGACCACCAGGAAGCAGCCGAAGAACAGGTAGTGATTGTAGACAAAGGAGAAGCCCCGCCAGTGAGCGTGACTGGCCCGGAAGGTCTCCTGCTGGATGTCTCTGCCCGAGTGGGAACAAAAACAAACAAGCCAGATGAGAGGTTAACAGAGAGCGGATTGGGCAAGGAGTGTGACACGGGAGTGCACAGGACACGGGTCAGGATGCAGCTCCGCAGACAAAAACGAACCCTGTCTCGAGACTTTGCTTCCTTTTCTAAATAATATGGCCTCACAGAGAGCAGCTGTAAGTGCTAACGAGGGAATGTGAAAGCATCTTCATTAGTAGGAGGCAGTTACCGTCATCATAATTGGGTTATAACAAAAATGAGAGAAATCTAGAACTGTGAGGGTTTCACCAGTTACTCAGAAGCCAGTGTGGAACAAGCCACGTTTCTGAGCAGTAATACCCACTACTCACAATCTCTGCAGTGAACCCAGCTACATGTACTGCTGGGAGATGCTCAGCTAAATGAAGGGGGAAAAAGCTCAGGCCTCCTTTGTCAGTGAGCTAGGGTTCCTCCATGGCGGCCAACGGGCAGCAGGCCTGCAAACCTGCGTCCGTCTCTGGCTATAACACAGGGTTTCCACTGAACATGAACGCAGCCGGCAAACCACTATGGTATCAGCAGAACTTGTGACTTTGCTCCTAGGGACACTCACAGACTTTTTATAACACACTGTGGTACTTTGCAGGTGTCTTAAAATATTAATACACATCACCACACTGAAATTCCAGAAGGCTCTATCCCTGCTGCCAGACCTCGTTATTTCATGTGTTAATAAAGAACACAGTTACTACATCACAAAATGTGCTTCCTGTAGTTATTTTGATAAACATATTTCAATACAAGGGTTTCCTGTGTGTCAGCATTACAGACTGCATGTTGAGAAGGGCTCCAGGGCCGCAAAGGGGAAGAGCCCAGGAGCTGACGCTCTATGCGGGGCTGGAGGACTGACACTCGAGAATAACCAGGCCCTGGTGCGGCACCGCTGGGGCGGGGCAGGGCGGGGAACAGCACAGTCAAACTGCACGGACTCTGCGGCTCTGCCCGCAGCCAGCGCTACCCAGGCACCCCAGACGCCCACAAGCCGCAGCTGCCACGAGGCACTGTAACGGAAGAAGAGCATCTCATGTTTGATTCTTATTACCAAACTCATGTTCGTACCTTAAGGGCAAAAAGCGGGTCCTGTAGAGGATTGCTCCAAGGGTCCACTGAACCTCCTTGTCATAAACTTGCAAGGCGGTCTTTAAATTTTTATAGGTGACGGGAAACGAAAAGCCGCTGTGGAACACCTCGAACATCCAGGCGGATTTGAAGCACTGATACCTGCAGACACGAAGCACAGGCAGAGGTGGGACTGGGTCACTGGTCACACTGTCCACAGACGTTCCCCTCCCCGCGCCCCTGTGACCAGTGTGCGTAGACAGGCTTCCTGAGGCCAGAGCTCTGAGCAGCCAAACCAATCACATGCATTTCAAGTTGATCTACTTGGTTTCTGTCCCTTGTCCCACAACATGAAACTGTTTACCTGTTGAAATCAATCAGTTCGTGAAACTTGGTCTCAGGGTGATTTAGCACAGTGCCATGCCAGCTTTTCCCTCTGGCATGCCATCTTTTATTCATTCAATAAATACTGAGCAAGTTCCAGCTTTTTGGGACCTCAGTTTCTTTTTTCTTTTCTTTTTTTAATTTTATTTTAATTTATTTTTTCAAATTCAGTTTCTTTATTATAAAATGAGAAAAGAGGAGGGTCCCTTTTAGCTCTGTTATTCTATGATTCTAAATATTTATCAGAGGCTTACTTTTGGCAAAGCACTGGGCTAAGCAAGGTATAAGATATAATAACAAAAAATAAAATGGTCAACGCACTTAAATAACTTATAATGGAAGGGTTTTTGAAAAGCAACTATGAACAAAGCAGAAACGATAAATGTCCCCAGGGAGACTGAGGGCCCTGGAGACTCAGCAGGAAGGGAGGGGCCAGCTGAAAGGGCAGAAGACTACTCAGAAAAGACAGCTCCCAGCCTGATGCCGAGGCCCGGGCAGGATTTCAGCAGCAAAGGATGACTGGGGGAATTCCAGGTGGAAAGAACAGCGAAGCTGAGCACAGATATGTGTGGAGCAATGTATGTTTGGGCACAAGGATTTGCCACCTTGCTTGAAAGGAGGCCAGGACAGACGAGGGGGGAGTTGTGGGGGAGGAGGGTCAACAGGGGGGCTGGGGCCAGGGCGTGGCAAGCCAGGGCCCACGGTGACTGCGTGCTTTCCTGAAGACTCCCCGGGCTTGGCCGCCCACGACTTACTTTAGCCTGTGGAGGTCAGCGTGAGAGGCATATAGTCCTCGGTCAAAACGCTCCCGTAAGATCGACCACTTTGTTGCACAATAATCCTGAAAGAAATTTTGCCCAAAATAAATAATTGGTCAAGGTTTATTACAATGTTTTTTCATTTAAAGAAGTGTTTATCAAATTCATATTCATTCCTAACTGGAAGCAAACATATCCTTCCAGTTAGAAGCATAACTTAGACGTGTACCAAGACAAGACACATAACCGCTCAGTGAGTATTACTGAGCAAAGAGTACTGTTCTTATTTTTTTAAGATCTTATTTTATTTTCAGAGAGAGGGAAAGACAGGGAGAAAGAGAAGTAGAGAAACACTGATGCCAGAGAGAAACACTGATTGGTTGCCTCTTGTATGTGCCCTGTAAGTGCCCCGACCATGGACCGACCCCACAACCCAGGCATGTGCCCCCAACCGGGAACTGAACCGGTGATTTTTAGCGTGGAACGATGGCCAACAAACTAAGCCACACTGGTCAGGACAAGAATGCTTTTCTTTGTCTTAAAATTCTGCCAAAGTGACTGTTAGAATTTGACTGCCCACACCAACCTCTTGGAAACAGCTTAGTCTCTCCCTCCGTGACTGCCTGTGACAGGCACAGGCATGTGGATAAGCGAGTTGGCACTGAGCTAGCTCAGACTGAGCAGCCTGCGTGTGGTTACACAGTGCAAGGTTCTGGGACACAAAGCTGATTACGAAGAGAAGACAAAGAGGTGTCACAACACTTAAAACGACTCCTCAACATGGCTACTATTCTAACCTCTATTTAAAGGGTGAAAAACGGAGGCTCAGAGAAGCTGAGAAACTTGCAAAAAGGAACAGGAACAGCACTCAGCCTGAAAGAAGAGGGAAAAGGACAAGCATTCTGGGCCCAGGGAACGCCAAGAACGAGGACGAGGTGGGAAGTGGCACAGGTGTGAGGGAAACAGAGTTGTCTGGTACAATTACAGAGTGAAGAGCCAGGCGCGGGGATGACGCCACAGGGCGCGGGGATGACGCCACAGGGCGCGGATGTGAAACGTATCCTGGAAGGAAAAAGAAGCTGCGTAAGATTTTCAACAGGAGGGCAGGTGACGCACTTGCATTTTGACAGAACAGTCTAAGAGTAGCTGGAAGGTGAATGATGAAAGAAGACCAGATGCAAAAACACCAACTGCGAGGCTCCTGCAATAGTGCAGGTGACCGACAGAGGCGTGGACTAGGCCAAAGGCACTGGGACAGAAAGCAGGAAGGGGCCTGAGAAATATCTATGACATCAAGTAATGTGCTTGATTAGACAGGGTTGTCCAGCGAGGAATGAACAAAATGACAGGGTACAGGATCGTCAGTGCTGCCGCTGACTGAGCATATGACAGAACGGAGCAGGGAGAAAATAGTGGGTGTATTTGGAGTCAGAGCAGCTAGCACGTGCTGGGTGGGGTCAGGACAGCTGACAGCAAATCATGAGCAGGGGTGAGACCACCTGAGAACCTGCAAGTCAGGAGGCCAAGAGTGGGAGTCTGGGATCACCAAGGTTTAATGGGTGTGAAGAGGGGAACCCTTAAAAGACCCAAAGAAACTCAGAAGGCAGGGGGAACTAGCGACGGAAGTCCTGGAAGGCGGCAGCGAGAAGTGTCAGATGATATGCCCATTAGTACACAGGAGCACAACCGGGAGCCACTGGTGAGCAGGGCTGTTCGTGGAGTGCGGGGCAGAAGTGAGCTCACAGAGGAGTTCCAGCTTCTGCCTGACCGCTCCTCTCGCCCGGCTGGGGAACAGGATCCCCAACGTGCAGCAGGAGAACCCTCCCTGCCCCCCATCTCCCTTCTCTTGGCCTGGGCCTCCAGTGTGGAAGGGAGGACAAGGCCTGCCACTGTCCACCCGCCTCCCACAGTGCACAGGAGAAGGCTGCTCGGAAGGCTACCTTCGCAGCTTTGGTGAATGCGGCAGCATTGTAGTCTCCTCCCATTCGCAGCACGTCCTCAGTGCAGTAGTAGAATTCAGAAAAGCCATAGAATTCGCTGTTCTGGAAGTGAATCGGGGGCTGGTAGACCCCATTGAGGGAAGTCTGCGTCTCATTAGTTTTGTTCATAAAAGGCTGGAGAGTCTGTCGACACAGGTCAAAATCTCCCGTTCCCCGCAGGTACATGGTCTGTCCGTTCTGCTGGATTTCATCTTTAATGTCTAGGGGTAAGCAGGGGTCCAGGTACGGAGTATCAGGAGCTAGACCAGTTTGCTTCCCCAGGAGCCTATGGGACAAAAAGACACTCGATCATGAGACTGACAGAAAACTGTGTTTTGAAGTCAGTGCCTCTCCAAGTGTGTTCTGTGGACCACGTGCCCTGCCCAGCATTCTGTGGGCACAGAGGGTTCCAGGATAATTAGGTTAGGAAAGGACACCCTTGAGCCCCACCTGGAGATTCATGACATACATCTTCATAGAGCAGACACCTGAAAAGAATCTGGGGAAACACGTGGTCTGGTGACCGCAACCTTTCCGCTCCTTGCACGCAGCCTCGTGTCCCCCCCGCTGAGTGCCCCTGGGCAGGGAGCCCCTCTGCGTCCCAGTTCACCGCTGCTGAGTGCCCACTCACTGTGTGTTCCAGCCTCACTTCTGCCACTAGTGCTTGTGATTTTTATTATATGCAGATGAAATGCGACTGAAAAGAAGTAACAAGTGAAAATGTGTCCTGTGAAAATTAGATGTCTTAGAAAAATATGATAAAGGTGAGTTGCTAGAAAACTGCTGTCAAATTGATGTTAGCAAGATTTAAAAAGAATTTAGAGCACAAGTGTCTATCAGTAGATGAGTGGATAAAACTATGGGACATTCACACGACTGAGTATTACTTGGCTGTAAAAAAGAAAAATTTACCCTTTGCAACAGCATGGATGGATCTGGAGAACATAACGCTAAATGAAATAAGCCAATCAGAGAAAGACAAATACCATATGATTTCACTCATGTGTAGAATTTCATGAAAAATCTCATGTTTATTCCCAGTCACCCCTGACAAATGCTAACAGCAGGTTCAGCAAATGCTTCCTGGGAGCCTGGCACTGTTGTGGGGCACTGTACATGTATCAGCTCATTTAATCCTCCCAACAGTGCTACAAGGTAGATACTATTTTACTCTCAGTTAAAACATATTTTTAGGGGGTGGGTTGGGCAGGGGAAAGTGGTGGCGGGTAAATGGAGACAAATGTATTTGAAAATTTTTGTAAAACATAGATTTTAAAAAATAAATAAAATAAAAATAAATAAATAAAATCTTTAAAAAATACAAAGAATGAATCTAATGACCTGAATAAACAAGGAAAATGGGGACTCACAGATGGAGGGCAGGAGGGCAGACGGTGGGGGTGAGGAGGGGGAGGAACTGAGCAAAAAGGAAAAAGGACTCATGGACGTGGACAACAGTGTGGTGACTGCTGATGGAAGGGGAGTATAAAAGGACTTAGTGGCATTTTTATTTAAGTTAGGTGAAAAATATTAAAGAGGAAAAAAAGAATTTAGAAAAATGAGTAAAAACCAGACGGATTTGATATCAAATTCTTCACAAATGCCTGTAAGTTCTTGGTATTCTTTAAGCCAAAACAACTTCCAGTGGACCGGGCGTAGCGCATGTCTGAGAAATGCCGGAGGCAGCCTGAAAACACCTTGGCCCAGCGCGAAAGACTTGCAAATGAACCCATCAGTGAAAATAAGATGCATTATCTGGGGCTCAGAACTACGGCAGTGTCCTGAGAGGGACACTTCCACCAGGGAGGAGTGGGTCTGAGTGAGGGACAGTGAGCCTCCCTGGGACCCTTGGCGGGGTGCGGGGCTGAAGGCAGGACCCCTGGGTCCTTCCACTGCCTCTCCCAGCTCAGCAGGCAGGGGACTAAAAAGCCAACAGTGCTGACAGGCTTCTGCTGACTGAAGTCTTACTGCTTTGCCAGGGTGGGTTTTTATGAGCAGAGACCTGGATCTGAGCTTGCCTGCTGGGCAATGAAAGGTGCTTTACCTGTTCTTTTGAACTGTGTTGGCAAATATCTTATCTTCATATCTCTGCCGGGCAGCATTGCCACCAAACCCAAGAAATGTGGCCACATAGACTCGGTACACATGCTCAGTCTGATGAACATCACATCCAAGGTTAAACTCAGCCAGCAAGTTCTTAGCCACTTCTTCCTGATGATGTAAGGATAACAAAATTAACATTTTGAGCAATATAAAAACAATTATCTTCTTTAAAAAGAACCAAAGAAGATTCTCATCTAAATGGAGCAAGAATTTCTGCTTCTGTATTTCCTTCTAGATGTCCCTCCTAAATCAGTATGACAATTCTGACTTGAGAAATTTCAGATGCGCTGCCCATCTGTGATATCGTCACAACTTTTTGATAAAGGAAGTTGGCAATATAGTTCACATCTGCTAACCTAGTATTCTATTTATGGAATCCTATGCTTTGGAAATAATCTTGAATACTGAAAAGTCTCTATACACAAAGATGTCCTTTGTAATCCTGGGAGAGAAAAAGCTGGATGTCATCTAAATATCCAACTCCTAGGAGGGTTTAGTAATTTATGCTAATCAAGTTTATGGAGGAACACACTTATGTACTGTTAAATAAAAGGCACAAAACTGCATAAACAGTAAGATTATAAAAACCACATTTTAAAAAACTGTAAGTAGGAAAAAAATGAAAAAATAGCATCAAAATGCTAACAAGGATTTCTTTGGATAATGCATCCATGGGAAATTTTTAATCCTGATTTTTCAGTATTTTTTTCCAAGCTTGCTTTATATATATATTTTTACTACATTTTGAAGGGAATAACATGACTTTTTATAGGGTGTGACAGTGTCCAGAGGTATGTCTGGATGGGAAGTAGGAGACGCAGACTGCAATACTTGAATTTATCAAGCATTTTTCTAAGGAGTTTAATAATGTACCATTTATTGGGCGAACACTAGGTGCCTAGCAATGCGTTAGATATATTATACGCACTATCTCATTAAAAGTTTATAGTAACTCTGCAGTCACATTTATAGATGGAAACCAGCTCGAAGAAGTTAAGTGACTTGCCCAAGGCCACACAACCAGTGAAGAAGGTTGACAGTGCACCAGTCTTTTTCAACCACCACACTACGCTGGGGGAAGCGCAGGAATGAGACTTTGGTATTAGTGTACAGCAGAATGGACAGAGAGTGATAAAGCCGTGTGGCAACTGAGGAGCCCTTCTGGAAACGCTTCTGCTGTTCTCCACACAGGCCGCAGCCGACTGGGACATGCAGTGACAGGGAGTACGAGGGGACGGAGAAAGACAGAGTGAACTGGAAGTTCAGAAACGCGAAAGCAGTCCTTTCCAGGAAAGTTAAAAGCTACCAGCCACTTAAGACGACATATATACACATGTATCCCCCAATTTTAACTTAAGAAACCTGATGCTATTCTATTTAAGTTTTACAATCTCTGTTGAGAAAAGAATTGAAGAGAAAATGCAAACAAAACTCAAGCATGTGACTGACATGTATACCAAAGAGAAACTCCATGTGAGTTCAGAAAACAAACCGGGTGAGTTCAATGAACACACAAACGGCTTAGGGGGGCTTTGCCTTGGCTTCCTCCTGTCTCCTTTCTCCTGGTTGAGAAGGTGGTACCTCAGCAAGCACAGTAAAGATGTGTTCAGACTCAGAAAACAAAACAGAAATGGATGGAGACATGTTAAACGAAACCAAATCAAAAAGAAGGAAACTTGTACAGATAATACCTGCTGTGAGGAGGCAAAGCTTACAGTTTTGGGGACTTCGTATGCTATCTGAGTCGACACGCCTCCCATGTCGAGAATACCGGCAGTTCTTTTGCGGAGAATGGCTTCACTGCCTTCACTCCCAGGAACGTTCACTTCCACCACAGCCTCGTCATCTGCAGAGAACGAGACACGCTCATGGGCGCGGAACAAACCCAGAGAACTGGGATCTGGGGAAGTGCCATCTTGTTTCCATGGTACGTTTCAAGCATTTCTAAGCAAACCCAGCCTCTTCTTCCCAACTACAATCAAGCTGTGTGGGACAGCAGCTTCTCTCACTCTGTCCTACACACTCAGCTGTGTCACAAAACTTAGCGCCTTTTTAGCCCTTAGAATAAACAGAAAAAGCCATGACTTCCAGTCAGATGCATCAGCTGGAAACATGCTACTTACCATCTTCAATATGCTCAAATCGTCCGAGGACAAAATTAATGCCGATCCAAGCATACACACCTATAGGCATTGCACAGGGTAAAGATAAGAACAGGATTTTAAAATATTTTGTATAACTCTGGTCAATGCTGTCTGTGCATATATCTCATTTTTTTTTCCCCGACGACCTGTGAGAACATCATCTGGAATAACATTTTTTTACTGATATATTTTACCTTTCCTAGTGGCTTTCCAAGAACTCTCAATTCTAAAACTTATAGTTTCATATCATTCACATAGGGGTAGTTTATTTATTTACAAAGGTGGGGGGAGAAAGAGAAGGAGAGAAACATTGATCAGCTGCCTCTTGCATGCCCCCAGCTGGGGACCTGGCCCACAGCCCAGGCATGTGCCGACTTGTGGGAATGTAAAGAGGTCTAATTCCCATCAGCCAGCCTTTCCAGTCCACAGGCTGGTGCTCAGTCGATTGAGCCACACCAACCAGCATGGGCTAGTTTTCCTTAGAAATTCCCAAGTTGTTTTCATATCCTAGAGTTTTTATTTTTTATGAAGTTAAACTTATCAATTGCAAGATTTTATAAACAACTTGGACTCTTCTATTTCCTTTGTCCCTCACTTTCACTCCTTTACCACATCTGATTCTGTTTTTACAACATTTCCTACAACCAGTCTTTACCCATTTTCATTACCGTTTTGATTTAAGCTGTGCAGAGGTCTAATCAATCTTCCAGCCCCTACTCTTCCACTCAACCCACTCTATTCTCTGCCACTGAATGGATCTACAGAACAAAGTCCAAACTTCACAGCCGGAAAATTCAAGACCTGTCCAGTATTTTTTATTGACTTTGACATATAACATTCTGTAGGTGTGGTGTACAGGTTACTTTGATACATTTGTATACTGTAATACATTGCCCTTATAGTAATATTTATATTACACTTAATGTATATTATCGCCTATATTCATTATACATTTGAATTTAAATCTGTTATATGCACCTGAAAAGTTCAAACTCACAATGTCCAAGGTACTGTGCATTCGATCTCTAGGGCTTGTTTACCACTTGTCCCAAATTTGAACCCTTAAACACCATCAGTCTTAGCCCTGACACCTATCCTCTGGTAACCACCATTTTACTCTGGTTTTACAGGGTTTGTTTTTTTTTTTCCAGATTCCAAAAACAAGTGGTATTATATAGTACTTGTCTTTCTCTGAGTTATCTAGCTTAGTATAAAGTGCTCAAGGTCCACGCACGTTGTTGCAAATGGTAGGATATCCTTCTTCTCATGGCAAAATCACATTCCACTGTGCATTTGCACCACATCTTTTTAATCCATTGATTGTTGATGGGCATTTGTATTATTTCCATATTTTGGCTATTGTGAATAATGCTGTGATAAACCTAAGGGTGCGTACACTGTGTCAAAGTCCTATTTTGATTTCCTTTGGGAATGAAATACCTGGAAGTGGAATTGCTGGATCATATGGTAGACCCATTGTTAATTTTTTAAGGAGCCTCCATATTGTTTCCATAGTATTTAGACCTATTTACATTCCCACTAACAATAAAAAGGAAATCCTTATATTATACAACACATCCTTACTAGCACCCGTTCTCTCATTTTCTTGACAGCAGCCATTCTGACAGGTGTTAGGTGATACCTCATTGTGGTTTTAAAGTGCATTTCCCTGGTGGCAGACACTGAGCAGTCTTTCCATGTGCCTGTTCGCCATTATGATGTCCTCTTTGGAAAATGTGTTTCATTCTTCTGAGCATTTTTTAATTGCATTGTTGTTGTTGTTAAGTTGTATGTGATCTTTACATATTTTCGATATTAACACATTATCTGATATACAGTCTGCAAAATTTTTCTTCCATTCTGTAGGTCTCTTTTCATTCTATTCTTTTGCTGTAAAGTTTTTAAGTTTGATGCAGTCCCATTTCTTGATTTTTGCTTTTTTTTGTTTGTGCTTTTGGTGTCATGCCCAAAATACCATTGCCATGGTGAATACTGAGGAGCTTCTTCCCTAACTTTTTCCTCTAGAAATTTTATGGTATCAGGCCTTATGTGTAAGTCTTTGAATCTACCGAGTTAATTTTTGTAAGTGAAATCAGATAGGGGTCCAATTTCATTTTCTGTGTGTTCCCCCAGTTTTCCCAGCATCGTTTTTAAAAAAGATTTTGAGAGAGAGGGGAAGGGAGGGAGAAAGAGGAAACATTGATGTGTGAGAGAAACATCGATCATATGCCTCGCACACATCCCCAACCGGAACCTCGCCCAAAACCCATATATGGGCCCTGACTGACCAGAAACCTTTCGCTTTGCAGAACAATGCCCAACCAATGAGCCACACTGGTCAGGGTGCCAGAACCACTTGTTGAAGAGACCATCTTCTCCCACTGGATGTTCTTGGTTCCCTTATTAGCTGACTGTATAAGCAGGGATTTAATTCTGAGCTCTCTATTCTGTTTCCTTGGTTGACATATTTTTCTGTAACAGTATCATACTGTTTTTATTACTATGGCTTTGTAGTATAGTTTGAAATACAGAAGTGTGATACCTCCAGCTTTATTCTTTTTTCCTCAGGAGTGCTTTGGCTACTCAGGTTTATGGTTCTGCACAAATTTAAGAACAGTTTTCTTCTATTTCTGTAAAGCATGCCTTTGGTATCTTGATGGGGATCGGGTTGAATCTGTAGATGGCTTAGGGAAGCATGGACATTTTAGCAATAAAAATTCTTCTGATCCATGAACATGTGATGTCTTTCCCTTTGTCTTCGATTTCTTTCAGCAAAGACTTGTAGTTTTTGTTGTACAGGTCTTCAATTTCCTTGGTTAAATTTATTCCTAAATGTTTTTGGTTCTGATGCTATTATTTCTTTTTCAGATACTTCATCATTAGTGTAAAGGAATACAACTGATTATTGGATGTTGATTGTGTATCCTGCCATTTTATGAAAATTGTTAATGATTAACCAATTTTTTAAAAGACTCTGGGGTTTTCTATATATAGATCATCAGCAAATAAGGACAGTTGTACCTTTTCCTTTATAAATTGGATGCCTTTTATTCCTGTCTTGCCAATTTACTCTGGCCAGGCCTTCCAGTACTATACTGTGTAAGAGTGATGACAGTAGACATCCTTGTTTTGTTCCTGACCTTAGAGGAACACCTTCAATTCTTCTCCATTAAGTATGCTAGCTGTGACATGGCCTTTATTATGTTGAGGTATATCCAACACGTCAAGGGTTCTTATCATAAACACATGTTGTATTTTGTCAAATGCCTTTTTCTGTGTCTATTGAGATGATCGTGTGATTTTCATCTTTCACTTTATTGATGTGATGTATTACACATTTATTGATTTGCATGTATTAAATCCTTTTTGTCTCAGAAACAAACATCACTTGGTCCTGGTATATAATGTGCTCTTGATATTAGTTTGCTAATATTTTGTTGAGTTTTGCATCTATATTAATCTCAAATATTGGTTTACAGTTTTCTTGTATCCTTATCTGTTTTTATCAAGATAATGCTGGCTTTGTAGAGTGAGTTTTGGAGTGTTCCCTCCACCTTGATATTTTAGAAGTGTGCTGCATTCCACAATACCTGATAAGTTGTATTTCACTTTTCATTTGTTTCAAGATAATTATTTCCCTACTGATTTCTTTTAACCAATGGTTGTTTAGAAGTATTGTTTAGTTTCCACATCTTTGTAGATTTTCTCTTTCCTCTTGTTGCTGATTTTTAATTTTATGCCACTGTGGTCAGAAGAGATAGTTGGTATGGTTTCATTCTTTTTAAAATTTGCTAAAAATCCTACAGTCTATCCTAGAGAAGGTTCCATGTGCACTTGAGAATACATATTCAGCTGCTGTGGGCTGGAATGTTCTGTATATGCCTGGTAAGTCAACTTGTTCTAACATGTGGTTCAATTCCAACATTTTCTTGTTGATTTTCTGTCTGGACAATCTATGCACTGCTGATAGTGGGGTATTGAAGTCTCCTAATATTATTGTATTGTTATCTATTTTTCCCTTAAGATCTGCTAATACTTGCTTAATATACCAGGTCCAGAAGGTATCCAGCCATGTAATATGAAAAATAGAGACATTTATTGAAAAACACACAAGATACAAGAAACACTGGACACAGGGCAATGATACCTCAGTCCCCTTCAAAGTAGGCACCTTGGGGACTCACAGAGCTCTCCCAAGAGTCACCACCGGCTCCATTGGATTTTCCTGAATCTCACTGATGGTCTCAAATCTCCTCCCTTTCAAAGGTGATTTTGGTTTGGGGAAAAACCAGAAGTTGCAGGGTGCCAAATCTGGGCTGCAGAGGGACTGAGTCACCTGGGTGATTAGATGTTTCCCCAAAAGACTCTACATGAGACATAACACACGAGCAGAAGCACTGCTGTGACTGTGCCCTAGCCCAACCACCAGCTGCCCAGAGCTGCGGCCTTCTGAATCATCTCAAGTTTCCACACAGAAATGTTCAAGCTTAACGCGAAATTTGATGCAGATTCATCACTTTACTCATTCAGTCATTTTCAATGTGAGGGCTCCACAGTACACATGCTTACTCAATGGCTTCTACCACCCTCCACTGACAAGTACAGTGAAGCTGTCACTGTTCACACATGCGCATTCCAGTACACTCCCCTTGGCTGCCATGTTACAGCAATGATGCACAAACCATTTTGTTTATATTAACAACGGCTGGCCTTTTTCTGGTCAGGCCTCATATTTTGGTGTCTGGGTGTTGGGAGCATATGTATTTATGTCATAGCTTTTTTTAAAATTGTTTTATTTTTTAAACTAGTTTTACTTTTTTTTAGATTTTTAGAGAGAGGGGAAGGAAGGGGGAAGAGAGGGAGAGAAACACTGATGTGCAAGAGAAACATATAGATTCGTTGCCTCTCACGTGCCCGCAACTGGGGACCTGGCCCACAACCCAGACATGTACCCTAGCCAGGAATCGAACCGGCAATCCCTTGGTTTGCAGGTCTGTGTTCCAATCCACTGAGCCACACCAGCCAGGTTTGTCGTATCTTCTTGATACATTGATCCGTTTATCATTATATAATGACCTTCTTGTCTCTTCTTATCCTTTTTGTCTGAAGTCTAGTTTGTCTAAGTACGGCTACATCTCCCTTCTTTTGGTTTCTGTTTGCTGTGACCACCACCCTCCAACCTTTCATCTACCCTATGAGTGTCTTTAGAGTTGAACCAAGTCTCCTACAGGCAGCATATAGTTGGGTCTTGTTTATTTTTTAATCCATCTAGTCACTCTGTGTCTCTTGATTGGTGAGTCCAAACCATTTTCATTTAAGGTGATTACTGACATGTAAGGATTTATTACTGCCATTTTCATCTTCTGCCTTCTGGTTATTTTGTCTCTCCACTGTTTCTTTATACTTCTGTCTCCTCCCCCGCCCCCGCAATGCCTTTAAAATTCTTTTTCATTGGTTTCTGAGTTTTAACATAATGTATCTTGGAGAAAGACTTTTTCTCCAAGTCTTGAGATAACAGGGTATTCTACCAGCTTTGCAGACCTGTAATTTCAGTTCTTTCCCCCAGTTTGGGAAGTTCTTAGTTATTACTGATTTAAACACACTCTGCTCTGTTCTCCCTCCCTTCTGGTATACCCATTAATCTTATGCTGGCTCTTCTAATGGTGTCTATAGTTCTCATAGGATTTCTTCACTTTTTAAAAATCTTAGTTCTCTCTCATCTTCCATCTGAAACATCTTTATATTCGTATCTTCAAGCTCACTTATTCTCTCTTCCATCTGATATGACTTATTTCTAGTACTTTATTCATCTCATTTATTGAGTTCTTTAACTCCAGAATTTGGTTCCTTTTTAGAATTTCAATCTCTTTGGTAAAGCACTCCTTCTGTTCTTTAATTTTATTCCTGAGATCATTTCATTGCCTTCCTGAGTTTTCTTGTAGCTTGGTGAATTTCTTCACAACAGTTTTAATGAATTCTTTATCAGATCACACTAGTCCATGTCTTTGGGTTCAATTACTAGAAAACTGTCGTCTTCTTTTTGTGATACATTACCGTGATTTTTCATAGCATTTGATGAAAAGTGCCTCTGCTGACGCCTTCCAAGTAGTGAAGACCTTTCTCATTTAGGTAAAGCTTGGTTTATTTTGATTCTAACAATTCAACAGGTTTGTAAGCAGGAGACTTTCATTTTCCAGAAGGTGGCACTACTGCACAAGTTCTTGGTTTCTCTTATCAGAGCTGAGTAGGCCGGGAGCGTGCTCATAAAAAAAAGTTGTTGGAGAGGGGAGAAAGCGGTGCCCAGAGTTCGGGGGGGTGTGTGCTCAGCTCCCGTGCTCTGGGTGTGTCCACAGAGCAGAGAGGGTGTCCGTCCGTGAGTGGTCCTCTTGCAAGAATCCTAAGGCAGACAGCAGGCAACTCATTCCTTCAGTTGTCTTTGCCAGTCCTTCCCTTTCCTTTCCCCCAGTCACCATGAGGTCTTCCCAGAGACAAGGAACAGGTTTTTCCAGCTGCAGCATGCGGGTCCGGGCAGACCCCTGCTCACGACCGTCCTCCACCTCCTCTGCCAGGAAGGTCCTGCTGTCACCCCTGCCGCGCTCGCCTGGCTCCACAGCCTCCTCTAAGGGTCAAGCCACTCACTTTTGGGTAAATAAATGAATAGGTCTCTCAGGTGCCCTGGTGTGCTGTGCAGAGGTGCTTCTTTTTTTGCTTTTGTTACTAATGTCTTATTATAAATCAAAAGGGAGAAAACGAGAGTGACTCTGCTATGACGATGACACCAAAACCTGTCCAACTTATACTGTTATTAACACCTTTCAAAAGAGCCATAATCCAGTCAAACTAAAATAATTTCACCTGTGTTGACTCAAATAATTTCTCCTGGTTGAAATGTGCTTCCTATCTCTCAGAGCCCAACCTATACCATGCTCTGGTATGTCACATTTATAACTACTTGTTAGGTACCGTCAAATGTCATTTTCCTCATGATGCCCTTAGCTAGAAAAATGTCTTCCTCTTTCAAACTCCCACGATACTTTTTCCTTATCTTCCTTCAGTACCTAAACTGTACTCACAAAGCGGTTAACTGCGTACTTTACTTGGCATTATCCGAATTAACCCAAGTTTGAGTTCTCCACAGTGTCTTTCAAAGAGGAGGGCTTTGCTAAAATTTTAGATGATTTTCAAATTTTTTTTTGTTCTCCATTTCTAGCAAGTTGTTCACCAAATAGTATCATTGATTTGTCATTTAATTCTCAAAAGAATTATTTCTTTGAGAAATAAAAAAAGAATATTTTCTCAGTATATCAAAGCCAAGAATAATTTCCCCTTCCTAGAGAAAAAGTCAACAGGAGGCTCCATCAGCTCAGTAATTATCATAATTCCAGAAACTTGTATATCTTACGCAAGAAACACAAAACTTTTCTATCACAATGAGTCCAAAATTTGTTTCCCAAGTGTGGTGAATACAAACTAAATTATATTTTTAATGGATTAATGTTGGATAGTAAAGGCCAGCCATATAAGAAACTAATTTTGCTATTTAAAAATCATACTATTTCAAGGCTATGGTTTTCTAAATTTTAAGGAATAATTTAATAAAGTATACATGGTGGAAATGGAGGATTTAAAGCAATAGTTTCCCAAATTTTAAGGGAAGACCAGTATACCAACCTTCTTGTTTCCCTGAAATTACTTCAGCATGAGAATCAGAAAACAGAAAGTCAAAGTGCACAGGGATGTCAGTCAGAAGGTCTTCCAGGATGGCTTTCTGCTGGCTGTAAGACAATCCAAAAATTGACATATCAAAATATTGTACGGAGAACTTTTGTTTTAAAAAGGAAAAAAACCCACTCTGACTCTGGTATATCCTATATGAAAATGAAAAACTTTAAAACCAAAGCAATTCATTGAAAAGACTGTTTACTTTAGGAAGAAATTTTTAAGAGTTGTGTGAATTATTCAATTCCTGGATGTAAAACTATAAATTCTTAAACTAATAAAATGGAAAATCACAGTTTTTTTAATGACAACTTTAGAGTTTACTATTTACTTACAATCATAAACAAATACATTAAAAGATATTTGGTGAGTTCTACCTAAGGGAATAGTTCTGATACTATTCCAGATTTGAAAAAAAGAATTTTTAATGTCTTCTTTTTGATGATGATGACGGAAGAGGAGGAAGGGGACTGGGGGAACAGAGGGAAATAAGGAGGAAAATAAATAACCACCGCCACCAGCGTGGACTGCGCTGTGTGGGTGGAGGATCACCTTTCAGGAAGGATTCTCATTCCAGCTGTGCAAAGAATGTAAAGAGGTGTCTCTTTGTGTTTTGCCCGCGGCACATGCTCTGCAGCAAAGTTCAAGAGTGGAGAAATGTAATCGCTGACTTTCTCTGGAGAAGTAGCAAATTCTGAAATGCCTACAGAAAAAGAACACCTCTGTTAACAAGTATATATTTTAGCTGATCAGTTACACTTCTTCACTGTGGCTAATGTGAGAGCAACTCAACCTATACACCATACTCTCCTAGTCTTTTCCTATCTACCTGGCAACACCTTTCAGTCTCTCTTCCTTAAGTGATGGTACTTTCTTCAGTGCTATGCTCTCTTATTCTCACTCATCAAAAGTGACAGACCTCACTGAGCGAGCACCTGTTACATGTCAGACACCCGGAGTCGATTACACTGGAGCACACCCCTGCCCTTGGGAAACGTGCCCCCGCCTTCCTCAGGCAAGCGTCCTCACTCCCATGGTTGCCATCACCATCAGTACGTCTCGGACTTATCTTATCAGCAGCCACCCAGATCTCTTCCCCAACCTGCAGAGCAGTATGTGGTAACTGTCCACCCGACAACGCCATGTGCTTGTCCTCAGAGCCCCCTAAAACTCAACATACGCAAATCTGAACTCAACATCCACTAGAAACCCACTCTTACTGCCAGTTACCTACTTCAGTGACCACTCTCTCTAGCTGCCCAATGGCCCATGAATAAAATCCCTCTCCCTCCCTCCAGCATGTGTTCTGCGTTTCGTCACCTGCCTCTCCTTGGTTCCTCTCACATTTTTCCACTTCTCATCTCTTCTGAATACCTCTACGCTCTGCCGGCCCACACATCCTACTCTCTGGTTTTGAAATTTCCTGACCATTCCCTATGTCAAAGGTGTCTCTTCTTGACTTAAAATCCTCTTGGGGCCCCTCAATGCCCTCCAGATAAAGCTCAGTTCCAGAATGGCATGACCTGCCCTGCATGCTCGCCCAACCTGTGTCTTCCTGCACTCCTTCCGTCTGGCTTCAGCCATACTGAACAGAATTTCTGTAATGCATCCCTCTCTGCTTTAGGGCCCCTGCCTCCACCAGAAGAGCCTTCTCTTTCACTGCCTCCCAACCCACTTCCCCTCTTTCCACCTGGCTAACTCCGCCTCATCCATGGAGTTCTTCCCTGTGGAGGGAGGTCTCCCCAACAGAACCCTGAAGACGAGCTCTCTTTGCCCCCATGCTCTCCTCTAGCTGTGGCACTCACGGCCTTGTCCAAATCGCCCATTTACTTGCTGGTCTCCTTTCTACTGCAAGTTTCTCAAGGGCACAAACTGTGTCTGGTTCAAATTTATACTCTCAGCACTAACGTGGGGCCTGGCAAGTAGGTGCTCAGCAAACACTTGCTGAATGGATGCATAAGTGCATGAGTATTTCTAGTTGTCACTGAGCCTACAATATTAAAGATGAGGGGAATTTTAGAAGTCCAAAAATTCCTAGTTTCACAGACTAGGAAATTGTGGGCCCAGAAAGATTGAGTAATTTGTCAAAGCTTTGAGTAAAAAACAGACTAAATGCCAGTATTTTTTTGACTTCACATACAATACTGTTTCAATGGACAACAAGCCCAAAGCTATCTAGAACCTATTAAGGAACTTTCTTGAGAGTTGCGGTAATGCTATACATGAGAGGCCATGCTTCAGGACAGAGAAAAGCTATAAAAAGGTTCTTGAATTTCTACTTACAGAACTTCTGGAACACCAGAGAGAACAAAGTTAAGCCTCATTTTAGTGAGAGTCTGGTGTCCACTCTGGGCTGCTGCTATAGCTGACACTTTGCTCTCAAAGGTAAACTCCAAGGTGTGGGAGTTTTCATCCTATTCCGTGAGAGCAGTTTAATCACTGATGGGACCTGGTACGTGAAAGTAGATGAAACCCAAAGTGCTTTAGAGAGTTTTAGTTTTTAAAATCCTGGTGAATTTTTTATTTGATCAATATTACTTTAATCCTGAAAATGCTTCTAAAGATTAGATACATAAAAATTCCAGGGATGGAAGAATAGAAAAGTAAAAATTAAGTCATTCACTAAAACCTAGAGAAAAAATGGTCTTTGTTAACAAAAATGTATTATGATACCAAAATAATGCCTGTATAAGACACTGAGATTAAGTTCCCTCTCTTTATCCTGAAAAATGAAGTAGAGTTTTTGAATTTTCTGAGCAATATGCTGGTGCCCAGCTGCCTGACCACTAGGGCCGCCCGGAGAAGGAAGTGGGGCCTGAGCTACGCAGTGAAGAGTACGCAGGGCGCGAGCGTCCATAGTCTGTGTGGTTAGGAACTGTTTTATTCTGTCAGGTTAAAACTGAAGCTCCTTTTCCCTTGTTTTTGAAATAGCAGATAATTAAGTTATGATAATTATTTTTTGCCAATATTCTCTAATATTTTAAAAGATAATCTCCTTGGATTGTTTGGATTTAATATTTTACTCTCTAAAACATTTGGCAAGATAAAATTAAAGTGCTGAATCCGTAAGAGGTATGGTTCATTGTTTTAAATTAGAGGTTATCAATTTAGCAAGACATAAAATGCCTATTTCAAGGTACTCCTGATACCTTCTATTCCTAATGCTCCTGGTAGTAGAGCACTGCCCATGGAAATGATGTAGATATAGAAAAAAGGCTGAAAACTACTGATTTAAATTGGTAAGGCACATCCCAATTTTTCTATAACACACTTAGAAATTGTGGTCTCTTTAAAAACTGAACATAATGATATCAGCTCTTTAAAGTTCTATGGTCATCCTTATTAAATAATCTATATGATTAGAAATATATTGGGATGGCAATTTTTAAAAGGATAAATATATACCAATTTATTAGAATATAGATTTCTATGAATTATCTGAAATGATCTTGTCATTACGGATGAAGACCAATGGCAAACGACCAGAAAAAAAAATATCCCTCCCTAATCAATGTCAACCAGCAAACGTGAGCAGGCACCATGAATAAGGAGCTACGGTAAATGCTGCAGGAAACAAAAGAAAGACATGGTGTTTTGATATTTTATTAAGGTGTTAGTCACCTTATGCAAGAAGGATAAAAAAGAGAGAAAGAAGTGAAAAAAGTAAAACAAGGAGACCAACTGGGTCCCTGTGAGCTCTGAGTTAGGGTGACTGCGGGGCTGAAAGGGAAACACGTGGAAGACATCACGGCGGCGGCAAGGCCAGAACCTGGTTATCAGAGACATACCTGGTTTTATTTTCATAACCACTGGCTTTCGGTGTTTATCCCTCATTTGCCTGATGTCCAGCAGGTCACGGGGATTGCCGTTGTGCCTGGGCCAGCAGTAGACAAACACCCGAGACCCGCTGCTGCCACAGTCCACCACGACACCGTAGTTCACATTGGGGTTGCTGGTGTCGGTAGCTTCGATGTCAGTAACCCGTGCCAAGTACCTTGTTTAGAAAAACAAATATATACTCTTGAAACAGAGGATATCATCCTAAACCTAACAGGTCAGTGCAATAAACAAATACTAAGTCAGTGATTTCTAAGCTGTGCAGTAGCACCAATATACCATTTTCTCAATCTCCAAATGATTAAAGAGTCAGAAGAAAACAAACAATAGCAATAAAGGTAATATAAATCAGATATACACTCACTATTCCTTTAAAGTTCAACCGAGTTCTCAAAAGCAAAACTACTTCCAACCTATCACCATTAACTGAAAAATCAGCTGACAAGATATCACAGAAGCAGTTGATGTTAAATCCTCTTATGTGGATTTGGTGGTTAATGATTAAACAGTTTCAAACAGTTTAATTTTTCATGCCATGCTGTATTCAGCATGGCACCTGTTCCCTACAGCCACAGGCTCCTGAAATTCCACCTAATCCCAAACTCCTAAAGCCATGAAATGAAGATATAGCATCCCATCGTGAAAATAAATGTTTTTTTCTCTTACCTTTGAAACTTCTTGTCTCTGGATAGTCGCCCATACTTATTTCGGATTATGATGACAGAAAAGTATAAAAGTGAAACAGCAGCAGCCAGAATACTAATAACAATAATTTGGCGTAAATTGGTATTCAAAATTCGAGGACATCCCACTGGAGAGATGCTAAAATGCCAGGAAGCAGGAAATAGACAGGAGATTCCAATCCTGAAATTTCGAAAAACAGATTTCAAAGCAATCTGCTCCGAACCTCACCTCAAATGATCCAAAAGCAAGACATTCAGTTTGAGCTGCCCCAACTCCCCCGCCAACAGGTATCTATATACCAGCATCGTCCTTATCGCTGTATTGCTTGTAACTCATTACACTCATGCACTGCATAATGATGTTTCAGTCAACGATGGACTGCATATGTGACGGTGGTCCCATAAGATTATAATGAAGCCGAAAATTCCCATCACCTAGTGATGTCGCATGCAACACATCACTCATGTCCGTGGGGATGGTGGTATAAACAAACCTACTACACTGCCAGTCATAGCGAAGTGAAGCACATGCAAGTACGTACAGTACATAGCACACGATGATGATAAATGACTATGTTGTTGGTTTATGTATTTCCTGTACTGTATTTTTTTATCGTTATTTTTTAAAATACTTTTACTTATTTATCTTGAGAGAGAGGGAAGGAAGAAAAAGAGGGAGAGAATATACATAGATGCGAGAGAGAAACATCGATCGGTTGCCTCTCCTATGCGCCCCAGCTGGGGACCGAATCCGCAACCCAGGCCTGTGCCTTGACCGGGAATCGACAGCGACCTTCCACTTTGCGGTACAATACCCAGCCAACCGAGCCACACCAGTCAGGGCTTCACTGTTACTTTAGAGTGTGCTCTTTCCACTTACATAAAAAAGTACCCCATGTTATAAAGACAGCAGCCCCATCCATCCTGTGTCTACTGCATCCCTTGCTTGCATTGTTTTCTCTTGTGCTTGATTCAGTCTCCTGCTGTTTTATACAGAAACATGCTGTACAGGCTCATGGCCCAGGAGCAACAAGATATAACCTGTAACCTAGGCGTGTAGGAGGCTGCACCATCTGGGCCTGTGTAAGTGCACACTGTGATGCTTGCACAATGACAAAATTGCTTAACGAAATCCCCATCATGTTCTCCTTGTTAAGCAACACATGAACGTACTATCAAATTAGATGAATGAGAATTAAGCCTTTCTGTGTTTTCCCACTTCTTGACAGAATTATGCAGATTGTTATTTGTACCCTGCTTTGTTCCAAAATATTAGAGACCGCTTACAAGAATAAGTTCAATAACATACATATAAAAATCTGTAATAAAATCAGGTTTAAGGACGATGAAACCAAAGAGAATTTAGTACATAGGAATGTATGTAATCGGGTAGGCCTTCAAAGGTGGTTGTGCATCCTCATGGCCCATATACTGCCTATTAGATTGGAAACACAGAAATAGCTCAGAAGGAGTAAGCTTTTCTTAACACTGAATTTGAAGGCAAATTTCTCCCTGATGATTATGTGAGAAAATAGTATTTTTAACAACATCCTCATTACATAGTCAATAAATGAGTTATGTATGTTGTGTTTTTAGAAACATCCCTGAGACATGTTTGCACATAAAAACTTTTCTTCTCAGTTTATGTCAGGAGTGAGGGGCTTTATTAGGCTTAAAACAAAAACAAACAAACAAACAAAAACCCAAAACAAAAACCACCTTGCTAACATTAGGATATATTTTAGTGTTTTACAGTTAATTTCTATACTCTTCCTTTTAAAAAGTGCTTCATGGACTCACAGAAGGAGGTGGCATCCTGTTAGCCCAATGGGATTTTCCATTTGTTGTTTCTAGTCTCCATGTGGGCTCCTGGGCCAGCCTGTGGGGTTCACCGCCACGCCCCCACACCTCTGGGACTTAGAGACAGTTATCCTGGGCTTCATGCAACCCTCACAGACTCTGACACACATGCCCTTTATGATACACCACATTAACCCCTGTAGGACCCACTTGGCTTTATCACCTTCTGTCTGCAACAGGAGCCCCCTGGGGCTCTGTAAGAACAAAGGTATAAAATAAAAGTGTAGCACAACTGTGAACACTTTTCGCTTGGGGTTTAGATTTTTTTCCCTCTCAAAACCTGTCTCAGTGGCACCAAAATCTCAGGTTTCCCAGTGCAGTGGTCGGGCACTGTTACTCACCTTCCCATGCTGACGGGTCAGAGGTTGGCCAGTGTTCTGGGAGTCAGTCCTCATCCGCCATCACAAAAACAAGGGGGTCCTCCCGCAGCCAGAGCCCTCCTGTTCCAGAAGTAAGACAAATCACAAAGAAGGCCCAACCCAAGACATACCTATGGTCTTTGTCAACTGTATGTTTAAATCCAACCACACAAAATCTGGTACCTAATCCTTGCACTGAAGCTGTCAAGAAGGGTTTATTTTGAGCATGTAGCTTCTGCATTAGCACTGATCTAGCCTGTCTATCTTTTTAGTCTTATCCCCAGACAGACAGACAGCTATTACCCTATGCGCCAGCCATATTAAACACATGCTGCAAGTCACTGCAATGCCCTGCATTCCACTGCATTTCTAGAAGGACCTCTTTGGTCCATCTGTTGGCGTTCCTATGTAATCCTCATGACACACGTCAACCACAGTTCCTCTGTGAGGACGTCCCTAGTCCTCATCTCCCCAGAGTATGTGCTCATCACTGTAGTGGGCTGCAGTATTATACTTGGGGCTGGCTGACTTTCTCATCACATGGCAAGCCCCTCATTGGCAGGGACAGCCCCTTAGTCTTCTGTTTCTCCAGTGACCAGTGCCTATCACATAAGTGATGAACAACCATTGTTTGTTTCATGGATGGTTGGGAATGGGAGACACAAAGGTGAATCAGACGTGGATCCAGCCCTTAAATTTATAATGCAGTACAGGGGAAAGTGTGCACACCCACGCACACAGAGTGTTAGTAAGGCCTGCCTGGCAAATGGGAGAAATAACTTTAATTAGTTCAGGTTTTAATAAGGCGTCCACATTGTACCATAGACCCAAAACTTAGGACAGACAATATTTGTGACTTAAGCTTTATGCCAAGAGGAAAAAAATGTCAATTACTTTAGGAATTTTAATGTGTTTTTATAAAGTAGTTACCTTCTAGCATTTGAATATTGTGAAATTACTACATTCTACCTTTATTAGAATTCCAATGCCTCAAAGATTTAAACATTAAAAATATCCATTAATATATAAGATGAAAATGTAGGTAAGTTTTTACATAATCTTGGAATGGGTAATGCTTTTCTACAATGGTATCAGTGTTTCAAACCATAAATGAAAGAAAATACATCTACACTTGAGTTAAAGGCTTTGGACTGTTTAAAATACACAAATACACAAAGCTTGGGAAAATTACTTGTAACATATGTGACAAAAGGTCAATACTGCTTACATATTAAAAAGTTTATAAAATAAATACATAAGAGAAACACTAGAACAAGTGAGCAAGGATACAAAATTAATGCAATAAGAAATATGAATGGCTGATAAAATAACTTCAATAGTATTTAGAGAAATATAAATGAAAACAAGACTTTACCACTATCAGACTGGCAGAGATTAAAGTCTGCTGATACTTTGCTACCCAGGGGGTGGAGGGGAAGGCCACCAATACAGCTGTGGAGACCTAAATAGGTACTGACCTTCTGGGGTCATACTGGTAACAGATACAGCAATTTTTAACATGCTTACCCTCTATTCAACCTGTCACACTTCCAGAAATTCATCCTTAGAAAACAGGGTAAAACCAAAATATGTATATAGGCGTTCATCCTAGTATTGTATATAATAGCAAAACATGGTTTCTAAACTCATGTGTATTACAGGGGATGAGTTAAATTAAACATGGCCACTTATGCGATGGAATACAATGTGGCTATTAAAGGTGATCTTGCAGCTCTATATTTATTGACATGGAAAGATGTCCATGATAGATTAAGTGAAAAAATTACACGGTACATAAGAAAGGGCTAAATTGAAGGAGAGAAACCAAAATGTTAACAGTGGTTAGTTATTTCTGAGTAGTGAAATAATAGATCATCTTCATTTTCTTCCCTAGGCTTGCTTATATTTTTTAAAGGGCATATATTGATTTTTATTATCAGAAGCAACAACAGAACTATTTTTAAAAAGCTACCTTTAACTGATATCTTTAGTTTCCAGCATCAAATCCTCTTCTGGATAGATAAAGAAAGTCTAACTTAAAAACTCTTCATGACATAGGAATTCCAACTAGGAAATTTTTGTGTGATAGTTGATCTGAATTTTTTTAAAAAAATGCTTCGGTTAACAGCCTTAAGTCAAGGTCCCTGGGGGGAGCGAGGCCTTTAGCGATTCCGTGACGAGGGCTGTGAAGTGATATGAAGGGCACTGAGGAGGAGCAAACCTGACTCCCGATTTCAAGGAGCCTGCAACCTGGCTACAGAGAAAATACTAATACCCAGGAGATAATCAAGAGTATAACAGAAGGCAATGTTAAATTATTCAGACTATAACTGCTGAGAGAGGGGTATAATGAAGGCTGGTAAATAGGAACAGATTCTGAAGGTCAGAAGCCAACTTTGGAAGGGGAAGAACAGAGAATGCATTTCCAAAGAGAAGATGCACTGTTAGAATGATCATAGCAAACTTGGCAAATGTTAATTTAATCTGGTGTTTGTCTTAGGACTTTTTGTTGAGGTATGTGAGGATTTCGACAAAAAGGATAAATAGATATTTTTGTAAGTTACAAAACTTGTGTTTAAAGACACACAGAAAATAGGACAGCTTACAAAACTGCTGAAGTAATTACTTTTATTTAGGACAAAAATATGGCTGAATATTACCCAGCAATCAACAATATGGTAATTTGACCTTAAAATGTAAACTCCCACTGTATATGCAGCTGAGAATCTTGGCACCAAAGTTTAGGGATGCAAAGTCCTAGTAATATTACATAAAAATGCCACATTTTTTTTAAAGGCCCAAATTGTGTTAGACCAATCATCAGAGATGCATTTATTGCATTACAATTTCAGTCAGTGCGGCCCTCCTTAGCTGAATGTTCCTTAGCGGAGTCCCGCCCCTCTCTCTCACTGACAGTCCTAAGGAAACCAGTGAAAACAATATAAATCAACTGCCAAGTGAAATGGTTCCTGTGATGAAAAATGTGTAACTCGATAAAACAGACATTAGCAAATTCTCAAATCATAGGCAAACAAAATCACCGACAAGTAAGACTCTGGAAGAGCTAGACCTCTGAGTAAGAAACGGTGAGATGACACAGTGGGCGCTTTAAGAAAGAATGGTGTGCGTATCAAAGGGTACAAGGGGACCCTGAAACGTCAAAGATACCCAAAAACACTTAGGTTGAATTTTGTAAGAAGCAACTGTTTTTGTGAGAGTGAGAGGCCAAGGTGAAGTGAAGGAGACTCTGGCACTCAGTTGTGGGAAAAATATATCAAAACAATCTGACTCATTGTTTGTTTTAAGAATGCATATAGTTGCATCTATGATCAATATTTTCTTTAATGTTTATTTTTAAATAAAAAAAATTTATTTTTCAATATCAAGTCCTAACCAAACATCTTCCTCTCACTATTCATTTGCAAAATTCTGGTTCCCATTTTAAGAGATCTTTTTCTAGTCACACTTTTTCGGAATCACCTGTGTAGTTTTCCAAGTCTGCAGCTCTGACTTTCCTCAAGTTCCAGTTCCATACCCCGAGCTTCCTGATGGCTGTCATCACGAACGTACTTAGTCTAAGTCTGCAGTCAGTCTTTGACACAATCTAATACCACTCCCCAAGTTCACTGGGTCCAAGACTGGTATCACCACCGACTGGATTCGCCTGGTTCTTAACTTTGATTCCCACTTATCTGCGTGCGACACATGGTACCATTCATCAGGTCCCATCAAAGTGTCCTCAAAGCAGCCACGCATCCAACATGATCACAGAAGACATGACCAGACAGATCTCTAGGCAGGTCACCAATCTTCTGCCTCCACTGTGAATACCACCCTTCCAAAATAACTCTTGTAAAACACTACCTTCAACGTACGACCAGCTCAAGAACTTTCTGGAGTCTATGGGGCCAACACCAATGTTCCTGTGTGCTGCCCGAAACCTCCGTCCATCCACTGATCCATCGTATTGCACCAGCCTGCCCTTCCCTAAGCCCCAGGTAGCATCGTTCTGGTCTAGCGAGGTAGCTCTCTTCTCTCCCACACAAGCTGTTCTCTTTTTTGTTTCAGGTCTTTACTAATGTCACTTCCTCCTAGTATGTCTTGCTCTCAACATAACATTTCCTTCAAGGCGCAGATCAGTATTTTTCTTTGCAAAGTTGAAATCATTATACTTTCCAATAGTTCCTCACACTCCGAATCTTTGTTCGTTTTTTAAAGAAACATGCTGAATATGCAGAGAATATACATATCATGTAAATCCTCAGATGAACTCCCATTTTTGTTTCTTCCTTCCAGACTGCACACACAAGGGTGGAGACCATGCATTCCCACTAGGGCTAGAAGAATGTAAACCATAAATTCAATAAGCAACAAACACAGAAACACAGAAATGAGGTAAACACAGAAATAAAGATGGTAAACACAGAAATAAGCAAACTACTTAGACAAACTACTCATACAAATTAGTATTCCATTTTATAATTCTGCTAATGTGTCAAACGACTAACCTGACACAAAGACAAGATAACATCAAACATAAGATAACACAAAGAATATGATTCTTTGAGGTCTCTCCAGGGCTGGAGTATAAGGTACTGTCATTACACAAGACAGGACACAGTCAAGGCTGCAAAGTGAAATTAAACTAGGGATTTGAGTCACTAATTTAGAATTCTTTAATAACCTCTAGTTTATCTTCGAGCACAGAAGTTGCTGAATTGCAAAGCATCTCCTTCCTTTCCTAATAGTGATAAACATTCTCTGAAAATGCTCTGCACCGGTGTTCATCTAACTGGGTTCTGGGACATTTTATAGAGAACAAGATGACTGTTTCTTTAAATGGTGTCCACACATTACTCAAGTCTGAGAAACACTGCTCTCATCATGACTTTATCGCCCATTTTTTCCAAGGAGATATCAACATGAAACTTAGTAAAAACAGCAAAGCAAATACGACGCTTAACGTGCAAACGTTATGATAAGGCGCCAGGCGAAAACCACTGGTCTTCGGAGCGGCATCCCCCTTCTCCTTGGCCAGGTGCCTCCCCGGTGTGGGACGGATCCACCCACACTACGTGTTAGGGGGAAAAGCCAGCGTGGTCACCGGAGCCGGCGCGACAGCACGACCGCCAGGCTTCTCCTCCCAGGGGCTGGGGGAGAGCACCTGTCACCCAGGGTCACGGGCACGGACGGCCCGGACTCTCGGACGTGGCCCTGCGGCCGGGAAGGAAGGGCGCAGGTAGGACAAGAGGCAGGAGCCGGGAGGCTCGCGGTAGGAGGGCTCGCCGGCGGCTCTCGACGCCCGGCCGAGCCCCACGGTCCAACTGTCTCCGTGTCGGCCGGCCGGCCGCCCTCTCCACCACCGCGCCGAGCAGGCGGCCTCACCTGTTCTGCAGCGCCTGACGCAGCGGTGAAGGCTCCCGAGGGCGGGGAGCCGTGAACCGAGCGCATCACGGCCGACTCGGAGAGCCGGCGGGGTCAGCAACGCGGGCCTCGCTTCCGGGAGGCGCCGCTCCGCGCCGGGAGCCACACCGCCCACCGCCCTCACCTGCGTTGCGTCACCGCCGCGCCGGGAGCGCGCGCGCTGAGGGGCGTGGCTTGCGTGCGGGGCGGGGGCTCTGCCGGGATTGGCGTCGCTGCAGCGCGGTTCCGCGTAAGCGCACGAGCGCCGGTCGGTTCTGGGAACGGCCAAAGTGGGAGTAGCGTCTCGGAAGTAACTGGCACCGTAGCTCGGTTACCGCGGGTGCTAGTCCGCCTGGTTTTCAAGGAGCCGCAGTGTGCTTATGACGCAGTAGTTTAGCTTTACTTTGTGGTCCTAAGGATGATGAAAAATACCAGTTGAAAACCTAACAAAAACTAGGCATTTTTGCCCAACTCTCGGCATTTTTTACAACTTCGCCAGTAGCTGTACCTACTTTACAGATGGGGAAACTAAGAGGCACACTCATTCAGTGAATCTCTTAACGCCCACATAATTAGGAAGAGCCTAAACTTGCGGACATCAACGCTTATGCTAGGGAAGACAGATGGCCCCAAGACAGGCCGTGGTTGTGACAGCTAGTAAGGTGAACAAAACTGGTTCCTCAGATTGACCGCGTGACCAGTCATCATGATTTTTATCCTTTTTTCCCTCTTTTGTTACAGGTGAATAAACTGCTTTCCAGAAAAATGAAGTGACCAGCCATTGTAGCCACTTAAAAAATGTTTTTAATGAAAGCCCTAGAAAGGTCTACTCCATTACTTCTATTATTAATATTATTATTGATTTGAGAGAGAAAAGGAAGGGGGAGGGGGAGAGAGAGAGAGATGGAAACATCAATCAGTACAGGACCCACCGCCTGCGACCTAGGTATGTGCCCTGACCAGAATCGAACCTGCAGCCTTTTGGTGTACAGACGACACTCCAACCAACTGATCCACCTGACCAGAGCTATTCCATTGCATTTGTCAAGTAAAACAAGCTTGGAAAGAACTAGTTGGTAAACATTTTAAGCAGAATGCTTCCTGGTCCAGCACCAGACAGGGTCATCTCTTACTCGTGGAAATGTTTCATCTCTGGATTCAGATACTCTCCGTGGAAGAAGGCTAGCAGTGACTTGGAGCCTTGTGCTTTAGAACTGAATACTGTCTTTTTCCTCTCCTGCCACATCCCAATCATAAAACCACAGAATATTCCAGCCCAAGGGACTGTAGGAACTGTCTAATACAAGCCACCTCCTTTCACTGTGAAGGAACCTGGAACCCAGAGAGGCTGAGCGCTGTGCTCAGAACCCCTGGAGGCGGAGAGGAAAGCAGGACCAATGGCTCTGACTCCCTACCTCACGGCCCTTCTATGGCAATCTGTTGCTCTTTTTAAAAATGACCAGTTTGGAGGCTTATACATTAGAAACCTCTGTGCCATGTGCCTAGGGCTACCTCTGAGAGGCTGAAGTAGTTGGCCACTGACATGCTCCCTCAAAAGGATGTGACCTTCAAAGTCCTTACCATTTGACATACTGCTTTAGATTATGGCAGTGTTTCTTAAGAAGGCCTACGCTAAAATGCCAGACTAGTATTATTACCCCGTCAGTATTTCCTGATAATCTATATGTGATAATTATTTGGTAAGAGATAGGAAAGAAAAGTATAAAGACAGATGAAAACATGTAACATGGTATATCAGTTTCCTAGGTCTGCTGTAACAAATTGCCCCAAACTGGATGGCTTAAAATGAAAGAAATTTATTTTTCTGCAGTTCTGGATGCTAAAAGTCTGAAATCAAGCTGTTGGCAGGGTCATGCTTCTTTGAAGACTCTAGGGAGGACCCTTCCTTAGTTTCTGGTAGTTACAATCTTTCACATTTCTCAGTTTGTAGACACATCACTCCAATCTCTGCCTCTGTTGTCACATGATGTTCTCCTGTGTGTCTCTGTGTCCAGATTTCCCCCTTCTTACAAGGACGTCAGTCATATTGAATTTAGGACTTACTCTAATCCAGAATGAGCTCTTAATGTAATTATATCTGCAAAGACCATATTTCCAAATGAGGTCACTTGCACAAGTTCTGGGTGGGCATAAACTTTTAGGGGGACATTATTCAACCCAGCACATGAGAGGGCCATCTCAGTCTGGGTTATCAGAGAAGGCTTCTTTGAGAAGGTGATGTTTGTGGTCACACCTGCAAGACAAATAGAAATTAACTTGAAGAAGCATGAAGTCTGGGCCTACATACAGGAGTATTGCTTCAGGCAATGGAAACAGCAGAGGTTCAGAAGGAAAGGAATACAACTGGCAGAGTGATCCATCAACTTATCCTCACTAACAAGAGAAAAAAAACTAAGCTAATAGGAAATACCACTTATTGAGTGCTTTATGCCAGACACAGGTCTAAGAGCATCAGAAAACATTTCAAAAGGAATGATAAAGAAATACATCAAAATTCATGGAATGTAGATAAAACAGTACTTACCTAGAAATCTATAGCTTTAAAAGCATATTTTAGTAAAGAAAAAATTAGAAATCAATGATCTAAGTTTCCACCTTAAGAAGTTAGGATAAGAAAAGAAAATGAAACCCAAAGTGAATAGAAGAAAGGAAAATAATTTTTTAAAATAAGTTAGACAAAATTAACAAGTCACATGTTATTTCTTTGAAAAAATTAATAAAATAGATAAACTCCTAGTGAGAGTGATCAGGAAAACATGTAACATGGTATATCAGTTTCCTAGGTCTGCTGTAACAAATTTCCCCAAACTGGATGGCTTAAAATGAAAGAAATTTATTTTTCTGCAGTTCTGGATGCTAAAAGTCTGAAATCAAGCTGTTGGCAGGGTCATGCTTCTTTGAAGACTCTAGGGAGGACCCTTCCTTAGTTTCTGGTAGTTACAATCTTTCCTAAAAAAGAAAGAAGACACAATGAATATCAAGAATAAAAGAGAAACATCATTACAGATTCTATGAAAATAAAAGAATAAGAAAATATTATGAACAATTTTATGCTGATAATTTCAATTTAGATGAAATGGAAAGATTCTTTGAAAAACATAATAGCCCAAAACTGACACAAGAAGAAATGGAACATCTGAGTAGGCCTATGTTTTTTAAGGTTCCTCCTCACCCCCAAATTCCAGGCCCAGATGGGTCACCAGTAAATTTTATCAACCATGTAAGAAAGAAAGAAATATCTATCTCACATAAATTATTTCAGAGAAATAGAGAAGGGGACACCTTCTAACTTATAAGGTCAGAATAATCCCAACACAAAGAAATAAAATTATACATCAGTATCCTTTAGAAACATATATGCAAACATTCTAATAAAATTTGGCAAATCAAATCCAGCAATATCCACAAAAAGTAAGACAGCTTAACCAAATGTGATTTTCGCAAGAAGTAAAAGGTTGGTTCAACACTTTAAAATCAGAATAAAGGAGATAAATCATGTAATTCATATCCTCTCAATCAATGTAGAAAAAACATTTTACAAAATTTAACACTCATGACTTTTTAATCATTCAAGATTTTATATATTTATTTTTAGAGAGAGGGGAATGGAGGGAAAAAGAGAGGGAGAAAAACATCAATGTGTGGTTGCCTCTCATGCACTCCCTGCTTCAGACCCGGCCCTCAACCCAGGCATGTGACCTGATTGGGAATTGAACCAGCGACCCTCTGGTTCACATGCTGGCACTCAGTCCACTGAGCCACACCAGCCAGGGCTCATTCACAATTTAAACAAAAACACAAAAAGGCTCTCATCAACTATATCAAAGATGACCTTCTTCAGTTTGACAGGATGTCTACAAAAGAATGAGATCGAAGTACCTCGTTACATGTTTGTTATTTTTAAGGTATTAAATGAAAGGTTGGAAAATAATGTGACACCTGGACTGCAGAAGCCATCCTGCAACCATGAGGCAACGGCAATGCATGTGAGAAGCTAATACTAAACATGATGAAATAGGCAGATGCAGTTACTCATGTCTACCAAGGCACTGAATGAATACCAGCTACGAAAGCCCTTATTTGTTTAAATTACTTTTGGCTGGATAGTCCATTACTTGCTGTTAGTCTTTGAAAATATTTGTTGACTAGTTGATTGAAAACTAGAAGGGACTTCAAGGGGGCATATTTTCCGGCTGTCTTTCTTCAGTTAGTTTAGGCCTCATTTACATTTTATAGAAGAGACAGCTGAGGTCAGAAGCAAAGTGACTTGCTCAACTCCCAAACCTGGGAAAGGGACAGGATGATTAAATGGGAAGAGAACCAAACCGGAGGTGGAAACGAATCCTAGTCCCTGCTACGTTACTGACTGACTGCGTAAGCTTAGGAAATTGAGTTTACCTCATTGGTTCTCACCATCCATATATAATCTTAAAAAGGGAATGGGGAGCCCCCAAAACCCAAAGTGGTTCCTGTGGCTAGATTGACTTCTAAGGTTCCTTTTACGGTCTAAAATCCATGATATCTAAAAGACAAAAGAAAAACTAGAGACAGGTCTTCCCATTCCACCTTTGTTCTTCCCCTTCTGCTCCTCCTTCCTCTTCCTTCTTCTTCCCCTTATAAAAGCAAACATAAGATAGAAGAACCCTTTCCTTTAAAGAATTTTTAAATTTTATTTATTTTTTAATTTATAAATCATGTTTATTCTATTACAGTTGTCTGAATTTTTCCCCCTTTACCCTCCTCCACCCATCCCACCCCCACTCCTCACTCCCACAGTTAAAAAAAAATTTTTTTTAAAATTAAACTCCAGGTTCCTTTAAAACTGCATGTGGGAACCTTGATGAATGGATTAGGGGAGATGAACAACCATCAGTATTTAAAACCTAAACAGGATTTCTTTTTAATTATCTTTCTAAAAAAACCCCCAAAGTGGCAATTGCTTGGAATTCTGCTGGCTTTACTTTCCAAATGTTTTAACCCATCATTCCAGGGAGCCTAATTGGCTACACTGTCCCCCTGGGCAGCATGTGGGTGCTGGGAGGAGGTAACTGTGAGGTGCTAGATGTCCCGGAAACAAAGGCATTCAGTGGCCCTGGGAAATGAGGAGGCCTGTCGTCCTCTTCTGGTCCTGCTGGACTTCCAACGCACTCGTGCAT